ACAGCAAAAATAAGTGATCTAAGATAATAAACCACAATAAAACAAAGCACTAAACTTTTTTACATAAAGTTTGATAATACTGTTAGATAATTTCTATCATTAAATAACTCCATAAAAAATAATCAGATCTGCATACACAAAATCAGGCAAAAAAATAATTATGTATTACACCTGAAATGGTAAATTATTATTTACTGTCAATGGTAGTAAATCTTCCTGGGAAATAAACTCCGGCTGGCATAAATTAAAAAGCTTCCTCATACTTTTATATATCGCAAAGTTTTTGATCAAGTCTTTAAAACCAATCAAGTCATCCAGCCTGACTTGGCGAGACAAGTCATCCAGCCTGTCTTGGCGAGGTAAGTCATCCAGCCTGTCTTGGCGAGGTAAGTCATCCAGCCTGTCTTGGCGAGACAAGTCATCCAGCCTGTCTTGGCGAGACAAGTCATCCAGCCTGTCTTGGCGAGACAAGTCATCCAGCCTGTCTTGGCGAGACAAGGCATCCACCCCTGTCTTGGCGAGACAAGGCATCCAGCCTGTCTTGGCGACACAAGGAAATCCAGCCTGTCTTGGCGAACAAGTCATCCAGCCTGTCCTTGGCGAATAAGTCATCCAGCCTGTCTTGGCGAGACAAGCATCCAGCCTGTTTTGGCGAGACAGAGGCATCCAGCCTGTCTTGGAGAGACAAGGCATCCAGCCTGTCTTGGCGAGACAAGGCATCCAGCCTGTCTTGGCGAGACAAGGCATCCAGCCTGTCTTGGCGAGACAAGGCATCCAGCCTGTCTTGGCGAGACAAGGCATCCAGCCTGTCTTGGCGAGACAAGGCATCCAGCCTGTCTTGGCGAGACAAGGCATCCAGCCTGTCTTGGAGAGACAAGGCATCCAGCCTGTCTTGGCGAGACAAGCATCCAGCCTGTCTTGGAGAGACAAGCCATCCAGCCTGTCTTGGAGAGATAAGTCATCCAGCCTGTCTTGGCGAGACAAGTCATCCAGCCTGTCTTGGCGAGACAAGTCATCCAGCCTGTCTTGGAGAGACAAGTCATCCAGCCTGTCTTGGAAAACCCAAGTCATCCACCCTGTCTTTGGCGAGATAAGCATCCAGCCTGCCCTTGGCGAGACAAGTCATCCAGCCTGTCTTGGCGAATAAGCCATCCAGCTTGTCTTGGCGAGATAAGTCTCCAGCCTGTCTTGCCGAATAAGCCATTCGGGCCTGTCTTGGCGAGACAAGTCATCCAGCCTGTCTTGGCGAGATAAGTCATCCAGCCTGTCTTGGCGAGACAAGTCATCCAGCCTGTCTTGGCGAGACAAGTCATCCAGCCTGTCTTGGAGAGACAAGTCATCCAGCCTGTCTTGGCGAGACAAGTCATCCAGCCTGTCTTGGCGAGATAAGTCATCCAGCCTGTCTTGGCGAGATAAGTCATCCAGCCTGTCTTGGCGAGATAAGTCATCCAGCCTGTCTTGGAGAGACAAGTCATCCAGCCTGTCTTGGAGAGACAAGTCATCCAGCCTGTCTTGGAGAGACAAGTCATCCAGCCTGTCTTGGAGAGACAAGTCATCCAGCCTGTCTTGGAGAGACAAGTCATCCAGCCTGTCTTGGCGAGGTAAGTCATCCAGCCTGTCTTGGCGAGACAAGTCATCCAGCCTGTCTTGGAGAGACAAGTCATCCAGCCTGTCTTGGCGTTGGGTCGTTCTGTTGGAATTTTTAATATGTTTGAGGTGAGAAAACAAAGAGTGATGTGTGCAGTTTGTGACCATTAATGTTAAAAATTTACCCAAGACAATGTCTATATTTGGAAACACACTCAAGTTTGTCCTCTGAAATTATTTGATAAAGTTGATCATGAATGAATCTGGTTTTAATAATTTTGCTGCACTGAACTAATGACGCATATATGAGTGAAACTGATGAAACTCAGTATAAAGTTTAGTTTCCATCACCTCTGGGTAAACATCAGTTAGGTTTTGAGAACTCAGAGTAAATTTTGTTTCACTAGATGAAGCTACATTATTTGCTAAATAACTTAGGAAAGAAAATCTGTTATTTCTTTGTACGCGTCTCCTCTTATCCTCGTCTGAGTTTCTCATTTTGTCAACAATTGTATGAAAGTTGGTGATATGAAAATTTATCTGCATTTCATGTCACAGCATCTCCGTCATTGGGTTTCCTTCTTTCTGATACGTTTTCGTGTTTGAGTTTCACTGTGATCAACATCTGGCAGTATTTCATTTACAAGTGCTTCAGATCTTTCGAAATCATATCTTAAGGTGCATAATTTTCAGCTAATATAACCCATATAGATCTGCACATGTTTTTAAGTTACATCTTCGTTTTGCAGAACTTGAATTTCTCTGGAAATTTTTACAAAAATTTCAACCCAAATGATTTACATAAAAACAAATTCTAATTGTTGAAAATTATTTGCAAAACTGTCTGCTTCTCTTCTCCCTTTTGTGACCGGTCTTCAGCCAGACAGTCTAAACGTTCCAAAATCTTACAGAATATTTTCAAAATTGCTGCTGTTGCTACAGCATGTGCCTCTCATCTAGTGTTGCTACAGCATGTGCCTCTCATCTAGTGTTGCTACAGCATGTGCCTCTCATCTAGTGTTGCTACAGCATGTGCCTCTCATCTAGTGTTGCTACAGCATGTGCCTCTCATCTAGTGTTGCTACAGCATGTGCCTCTCATCTAGTGTTGCTACAGCATGTGCCTCTCATCTGGTGTTGACACAACATGTGCCTCTCATCTGGTGTTGACACAACATGTGCCTCTCATCTGGTGTTGACACAACATGTGCCTCTCATCTGGTGTTGACACAACATGTGCCTCTCATCTAGTGTTGACACAACATGTGCCTCTCATCTGGTGTTGACACAACATGTGCCTCTCATCTGGTGTTGACACAACATGTGCCTCTCATCTGGTTTTTCACAACATGTGCCTCTCATCTGGTGTTGACACAACATGTGCCTCTCATCTGGTGTTGACACAACATGTGCCTCTCATCTGGTGTCACAGACGGCTTTGAACACTTTCATTTCCAAGAGAAACTACACGAACTTTCCACCGGCTGAATGAAGCTGAAAAAATGTATAGAGCAAATACAATGTAAAGAAATAATTACTGCCACATGACAGCAGACAACAGTACTTCGACCAACTAAATTTTGGACAGAAAAGAATTTTTTCTTTTCTAGAATTTCCATATTTCGGAAAGTGCCCTGCTACAATTTGTTCAAACTGTTCAAAAGTTTGGGAGTAAAAATTATAGCTTTATTTGCTCCCTGTTTTACAAGTAAATTCTGTCTGTCTGCCTATCTGTCTGTCTGTCCCGCCTGTCTCTCTCTCTGTCTCTCTCTTTTCCCCTCTCTCTCCTCTCGTCAGCCCTAAGGATTTCTAACTCCTTTTCTTCCTGGATGTTTTGACGTTCAAGCCTTCTCAGAATTTTTTTCCTCCCTAAATAGGGTTAATTTCAACTTAAAAATCTCTACTTCATTACTTGCAGCATCAGCACTGTGATCCAGGATCTTCTCCAGGATCCCTCTCACCACTACGTCTCTAAATGCTTAAAACAATTTGAAATTAGAAGAACCAATCACCTGTTTATTATTACAGCAAAAATAAGTGATCTAAGATAATAAACCACAATAAAACAAAGCACTAAACTTTTTTACATAAAGTTTGATAATACTGTTAGATAATTTCTATCATTAAATAACTCCATAAAAAATAATCAGATCTGCATACCCCAAAATCAGGCAAAAAAATAATTTTGTATTACCACCTGGAATGGTAAATTATTTATTTTCTGTCACGGTAGTAAATCCTTCCTGGGAAATAATCTCCGGCTGCTAAATTAAAAAGCTTCCTCATACTTATATATCGCAAAATTTCTGATCAAGTCTTTAAAAACCAATCAAGTCATTTCCCCCCTGTCTTGCGAGACAAGGCTCCAGCCTGTCCTTGGGGAGACAAGTCACCCCCCGTCTTGGCGAGACAAGGCATCCAGCCTGTCTTGGCGAGACAAGGCATCCAGCCTGTCTTGGCGAGACAAGGCATCCAGCCCGTCTTGCAGACAAGGCACCAGCCTGCATGGCGAACAAGGATCCCGCCTTTTCCCGGGG